CATCATCATACTACCTCTCCACTTAGTCTACTTCACCTTCCACCACCCCTGATGCCTCCACGAGTATGATGATGATGATAATATCTTTATTTACTACAAGTACATGTACATGGTATACAGTCCTAGCTGACATCAATAACATACTACTATATAGAAATCCGCTTGTTATGCAGAGCATTTCGGGCAAATTAGGTCAGTTTTGTCCCAGGATGCGACACACACCAGTCAACTAACTCCTAGGTACCCATTTTACTAATGGGTGAACATAGACTACCGCTGTAAAGAAACACGCTTAATGTTTTTACCCTCGCTGGAAATCGAACCCAGACCCTCGTCGTGTGAAGCGAGAGCTTTAGCCACCAACAACACTCTAATTGCCAGACATAATGAGGGCAAATTCCTTGGCCTATACCTCGACAACAACCTAAATTTCAGCACCCATATCCAACACAACAAAAATAGTATCCAAAACGGTGGGGATCCTCTCCAAGATACGATACTACGTACCGCAAACTGCCCTTCTCACACTATACCATTCACTTATATATCCATACCTCACCTATGCTATCTGTGCTTAGGGTTCAACTGCAGCAACACACCTAAAGCCAATAATAACCCAACAAAAAGCCGCAGTAAGAATAATCACTAAATCCCATCCCTGGCAACACACCCCCCCACTCTTCATAGATCTAAACTTACTCCCTGTTCAGAACATCCACACTTACTACTGTGCAATCTATATCTACAGGACCTTAAATTCCTATATTAACCTTGACCTAAAACGCTTTCTTGATAGTTGTGACAGGATCCACAGGCATAACACCAGACACAAACATCTCTATGACATTCCCCGAGTTCGACTAAACCTTTACAAAAATTCAATTTATTTCAAAGGACCTAAAATCTGGAACACCCTACCTGAAAACTCTAGAACTGCAGACACATTCATCACTTTCAAAACTACGGTTAGAAAACATCTTATCTCCCTGATCCACCCCAACTAACTACATGATAACCACCTGGTGGTTCAAAATTACACTCACTCACCCACTTACTATAAACCCAGAAATACTAATCTTAATCTTAAAATAATAAATCCTAACAAGTCATAAGTTTGCCTATGTTACTCAAATATAGACACCTTGTATTGTGCCAAAACAAAAGCATTCACATTGCTAAACTCAAAACTATGATGTAGTCACTTAGCCTTAATACTATAATCTGTAAGGACTTAATGTTAAGAATTAATCTAAGTCTGCTCGAAATGCCTAGCCATGCTAGGTGTCCTAGTGGCCCCCTCTGTAATTAGTGTTTTATAACATGTAAACCACAAAATACCCAAAACCTGTAAACCCCACATTGTAACCATTATAGAGAATAAACTTGAACTGAATTGAATTGAATTGAAAAAAAACATATGTGGCGAGGAAAGAGCAAGCGTGCGAGAGGGAGGGACGCAGATCTGTGCATCCCAGATGGGCAAAAGCTGCATAGCGGACTGGTGACCACAGTGAGAACAACGCCTGGGAACCTTTACACACAGTCACATGTGGTTGCTAGTGACTATTGTAGTGGTGGTAACCTATGAATTGGAATAATTGTTGTAGTGGTAATAATTGTTGTGACAGCAATTGTTGTCCCGTGGCTTGATAGGCAACACAGGAGAGAGAAAGCAGCGTATGACGACATTTCGGTCCGACTAGAACCATTTACAAGTCACTGAAACGCCGTCATAAACTTTTCTGTCCTATGTACGAGTTATTTCTGTATTGTTCCAGTCACGGTATTGATAGACAACGCACTCGTCTCACACACACCGAGTGTCCGTGTTTCAATTCCCGACCAGGTGCGCATGTTCACCCAGGTGTAAGTAGGTACCTGGGTGTTAGTCGACTGATATGGGTCGCATCCTGGGGGACAAGATTGAAGGACCCCAATGGAAATAAGACCGTCCCCGATGTCGCACTGACTTTCTTGGGTTATACCGGGTGGCCTAACCCTCCGAGTTAAAAATCCCAACAAATCTTATCTTATCCTACCCGTGGCAATTTGTGTAGTGGGGCAATTATTGTATTAGTGGTAATTATTGCAGTGGTGGTAACTGTTGCAGTGGCGGTAATTGTTATAGTGGTAATAATGGTTTTAGTCGAATTGTTGTAGTGGTAGTAATTACTGTAGTTATAGTTGTGGTAATGATGCCGGTAATTTAAGAGTCAAGATTAGGGAGCTGGTAGCAGTGTTCATACCTCTAACAATTTTGCATATTCGGGCCCCAACATGAGTGAAGAAACCTACCTGTTGCAAATATGTCTTACTATGCAACAGTTATGTATCTTTATTTCGAAACGTTTCGCCTACACAGTAGGCTTCTTCAGTCGGTACAGAAAAGTTGGTAGAAGTAGAAGAGATGTGAAGACGATGTAATCAGTTATCACCCTTGAAGATGTAGCTCTGAAGTGGTCAATTCCTCAGCCTGGAGAAGAGTATTTGTTCCATAGTCTGAAACAATGTGAAATTGAAGTATGTATAATGTTCGCCAAGACCGGAGTCCTGGCACGGGTCTTAATCTTGCGATGACCCGTCTGTGAAGTTGAAGTGACAGTATGGAGCTTTATATACTGTCAGGAGGTGACCTCATTGAGAGGTCACGTCCCTCTCAAATCCAACCATTCTCAAGGTGTTTTTTGTTCTGTACCAAGATACCATTGTGTTTGTGTCTGAAAGAGTGAATATTAAAATGGTATAAAATACCGACAGTCTGTTAGGTAAGACACATATGCAACAGTTAAGTATCTTTATATTTGACTCCTGCCACTATATATACTCGTTTTCTTAGTTACCTCTGTATTTGGACTGAAGAGGTCACTCGTGGTGAAACGTTTCCTTTAATAAATGTCCTGAACTATACATAAGTGTTTTTTCCACATGTCGGTATCACCATAAATTTTCTAACTCGTTTGCTGTACTCCAGGATCAATGTAGGACATTAATACAACAACGAACGAGGACGACGGGCATACGGCAACGAGCCTAGGGTGGTGAACTGATTACATCATACTACCTCTACACTTCGTCTTCCATCAACGCTGATGTCCCAGAATTCTCATTCATCTCTATTCGACTAACGAAACCTGCAGCGCAGGCGAAGCCTTTCGTAAATATAAAATTCCTAGTGTTGCAAATGTCTTACTAATCAACTTGTTGGTATGTTTAGCATGACCTGCTGCCACTAGTGGGCCCAGCTCACCTGTGACCTCATCTTCAAGACGCTACACCTCACTTTTCTCTAATATAAGCCTCTGACCATATGCTCTTGGTATAGGCTAGGAGACTTGTCATCTTGCTCCTAGGATGGACTGACTACATGAAACTGCCTCTACATTTCGTTTACCTCGTCTTCCACTAACGCCGATGTCTCCAGGCTTCTGATTCATCTTTGTACTCGACTGATGAAACCTTTCATCAGTAAAAATGGATATTGTTGCACATGTGTCTGACTTGTCAATTTGTGATAGAACCGACGAGGGGACAATCTGCTTGATTTGGTTCTAGCAAACAAGGAGACCCTGGTTAATAATCCGGAGATAACAGAGGTGCTTGTCACGAGCTATCACAAATAAATTACATTTAATATTAATGGTTTACAAAATTCACAAATAGATGAATAATGCATGTGTAAAACTCGAGAATATTTATAGTGGAAGTCTTTCTCCAACCAGTGGCATCATCAGTCCAAAACAGAGAATAAAACGGCAGATGCTTGAAGACATATAGAAGTAGTTTGTGATGATCAGTCCCCCATCCGCGAAGAATTTATTGGAGACGGTGGACGACTTGAAGTAGCAGTTTGAGGTGATCAGTCCCTTAGATTTAGAAAGGATAGTAAAAAGTAACTTTAGCAGTAGTTATGGAAGATAGGAGCAATCTGCCTAGTCATTCAAGCTAACACGTTAGGTAGCTTTAAAAAATAGGTTCAACAAACACTGGGAGTAAAAAGGGATTGGTTCTGAGGATCTGCCGAGCATAGGCCTATTGCAGCTCTCAAATCCCACATTTTTATATTCTTATTTATACTTGCCAGAGAAGCGGACAGCACACACACACACACACACACACACACACACACACACACACACACACACACACACACATTCCCCGCAGGGCACAGAGGAGCAGCCAGGTGATTCCAGGTGGTGCCGCCTCTCTGAGCTATCACCCTTTAAAGTGTCCCCTGGCGAGATATCTTCACTATAGAGACCACACTCCTTATTCTACATGCCAGGGCTGGAGATGCAGTTTTTTCTCTGGCCGATGTTAAGCTTTATCAAGCTAAAGCGAGGTAAATACTGCTGACCAGACCACAACATGATAAAAGAAAAATCAATGCTCGGGAAAACCACAAATACTTATAGTGAAAACCTGGTATGCAGTGCCGAGACGTGGTGGATAAAGCCACATGAGGAAGGACTTAGGAGAGTTTATTGTGAAAAAGTTTGTCCTGGAGTGAACAAAGTCACAGGTCCGAAAAGTTCCCATAATAAAATGCCCTAAGTATTTGTTCTTGTGTTTTTAACCAAGCAAATAATTATGCTGGTGATATTCTTGTATATACCAAAACCTTTCATGAAATGAGGAAAGTGAACCCGATTCCATTCACATAAAAAAAAAAAATTATTGAAGACTTTTTCGGTCCTTGGCTCTTAATAACCCCAAATATATGCATTTGAAGTGATCAAGGTCGAAAGATCGAAACTTCGTCAATGAAGATGACCTAAGTGACTGCACTGTCGACAGTCACTTGCCTTCTTACTACTATCGTGAAATGCAAACCACGTATTCTAAATTATACACAGACAGTCTGTGGTAGTCTTGAGGCTGTTTTACAAAATCGATATGTTTAACAGTCATAGTGGGAAGTGTAAAAGTGGCCCACTGTTAATAAAGGTTGTGTAACTATTACTAGTAACAATGATAATAGTTAAAGACACAGCAACTCTTACCCATTAGGGGCACTGTCATGCCTCTGGTGGGTAATATAGGTGGTAAAATTACCCACGCTATATGTTTACCTAACATCTCGGTGGGTAAATTGATGCCTTAATAAATATCTCATTACGATGCATGTGCACCCATTTGCCAGAATTAATAAATAACAACAATCCCATTTAAATAAGACTCCAATGCAGCACTTGGACATTGTGGAACTGTTTCGCTCACTGGAGTGGTAAATCAACGAAAGCACGGGGAATTCACTATTTTTTTTAATGGTTACTGTGTGTGTGTGTACTCACCTAGTTGTGGTTGCAGGGGTCGATTCATAGCTCCTGGTCCCGTCTCTTCACTGGCCGCTACTTGGTCACTCTCCCTGCACCATTAACTTTATCATACCTCTGCTTAAAGCTATGAATGGATCCTGCCTCCACTACACAGCTTCCCAAACTATTCCACTTCCTGACTACTCTGTGACTGAAGAAATACTTCCTAACATCACTGTGATTCATCTGTGTCTTTAACTTCCAACTGTGTTCCCTTGTTGCTGTGTCCCAACTCTGGAGCATTGTCTCTGTCCACCTTGTCAATTCCTCTCAGTATTTTATGTCATTATCATGTCCCCCTTATCTCTCGTCCTCCAGTGTCGTCAGGTCGATTTCCCTTAACCTCTCCTCGCAGGACATACCCCTTAGCTCTGGGACTAGTCTTGTTGCAAACCTTTGCACTTTCTCCAGTTTCTTTACGTGCTTGGCTAGATGTGGGTTCCAAACTGGTGCCGCATACTCCAATATGGGTCTAACGTACACGGTGTACAGGGTCCTGAACGATTCCTTATTAAGATGGCGGAATGCTGTCTTAGGTTTGCTTGGCGCCCATATGCTGTAGCAGTTATTTGATTGGTGTTCGCCTCAGAAGAAGTGTGTGTTGTGTGTGTGTGTGTGTGTGTGTGTGTGTGTGTGTGTGTGTGTGTGTGTGTGTGTGTGTGTGTGTGTGTGTGTGTTATATATATATATATATATATATATATATATATATATATATATATATATATATATATATATATATATATATATGCATGCATAACAACCACTCTGAAAGAATAGAGAAATTCCAAGCGCTTTCGTGACTACTCACATTATCAAGGAACATAGTTCCTTGATAATGTGAGTAGTCACGAAAGCGCTTGGAATTTCTCTATTCTTTCAGAGTGGTTGTTTTGCATATTCTGAAATCACCTGTTTACTGTGATCTTATTGCATATATATATATATATATATATATATATATATATATATATATATATATATATATATATATATATATATATTATATATATATAATATATAATATATCGGTATCGGTTAAAAAACAACCGATATCAGCCGATACCTTTTAAAATATTAATTTTGCATGTGTACTTAAAAATATCAACATTAGCACACTACATCACGATTGTGAGAGTTACTTTCTCTCTTTCTCACACACACATACAGAAACGTATGCAAGCACGTGAGCGCGCACACAGAGTACACAGACACGCACGTAGGAGGGTACACACACACACACATAGTAGAGTACACAGACACACAGATGGGAAAGTACACACACACAAATAGGAGAATATGCACACATACACACACAGGAGAGTACATAGATACACACACACAAGGCAATAGCAGTACGAAATGAAAGAGGGATGGGCAGATTGCATTTTCTTGAACTGTAAGAAGGCTTTCCACACAATACCGCACAAGAGACTGGTACATAAGCTAAAGGAGCAGGCAGGAATAACAGGACAAGCACTGCTTTGAATCAGGGAATACTTGACAGGAAGGAAACAACGAGTGATGGTACGTGACGAGGCGTCAGAGTGGGAGCATGTGTGGAGTGGGGTTCCACAAGGGTCAACCCTAGGGCCGGTGCTCTTTCCTGTATATCTGAATGACATGATGGAAGGGATAGTCAGAGGTGTCTCTGTTCGCAGACTACGTGAAACTAATGAAAAGAACTCGAACGAGGATCAGGTAAGACTACAAAGGGATCTGAACAGGCGACAATCCTGCTCCGACAAATGGCTCCTGGAGTTTAACCCCACCAAGTACAAACTCATGAAACTTGGGGAAGGACAAAGACCGCAGATGGCGAGTACACACACACATCGGGGTCAGGAGCTACGAATCGACCCCTGCAACCAAATATAGGTGAGTACATAGAGTACACAGACATGAACACACACATTCGACAAGTGCCTTCGACAACCAGCAAAACATACCATGTAATAAGTAACGACAGTATCATCTCAGAGAAATTACATTATTTAATATTTAACCTTCCTGTGTTATTTAATAACCATTGTGAAATAAACATTCTCTTATATATTGAACATAGTCATTGTAATTTTAAAAAATAAAAAAAAAATACGGGAAAAGTATCGGTATCAGCCGAAAATTGGGTATCGGTATCAGCCAAAATTTTGTTGTCTTAAATTAATCGTTTATATTTTAACACAACTATGCAATAATTATTCTGCCTGAAACACTGTACAAACTATGAACCTGTAACACATTTAGCTTTTTTTTTAATAAAATATTGTGTTGCAATAATTCAAAAATTGAAGAAGTGTAAAACGGCAGTGTAAAAATCTGTAAACATGAAACTAGTATATATATTTTTATTAACAACAATACAATTCTTATAAATTTGCGAACACCTGTGGAAATAAATCGTCTGATTTTTTTTTTTTGGGGGGGGGGGAGTATCCTAGGTAATTTACACTATGTATGAAAACTGTACTAGTGTGTACCTGTACCTAAATAAACTTACTGAATAAAGGAAGCGTAATAAAGAGCAATAATATAGTGTACCGTGCAGGAAGTCTCTCTCTCTCTCTCTCTCTCTCTGTGACCCGTGGTGAGGAAAACGGATGTTCAGAGGCAAGCTTCAGCAGACCCAAGTATTGACTCACCTCACAGCTGCCTCCTCGGGAGTTTCACCTGCTTCCACCTTGCCTCCAAAGGCATTCCACCTTCCCTGGCCAAACCCTCGCTTCTTGTACCCCAACAGGAGGCGATTTCCTTCTCTGATGAAGGCTAAAGTGAAGAGCTTCTTGGTCAGTTCAGACATCTTGGACTTGGCGCGTCATGGGCTCCATCTGCTATATAATATAAACCATTTACTTACAATTATGCGTGTTATATTTATCATATATTTTTTTCATTTTCTGCTCGTAAAAATATATAAATTAGGGGTGATTTTTCAGTCGAAGTTGTCAAAATGCACGTATCCAGAGCGCATTTGATAATAATAATAATTATTATTATTATTATTATTATTATTATTATTATTATTATTATTATTATTATATTATTATTATTATCGTAATAATAATAATAATAATAATAATAATAATAATAATAATAATAATTATTATTATTATTATTATTATTATTATTATTATCGTAATAATAATAATAATAGAAGAAGAAATCATGAATTATTTTTTTATTTTCTTAACTTACACTCATACAAATGTAAATAGCTTTTTTTTTACCTTATTCCTAGTATATAGCCTTTATAGTATAATAATAAGATATATCTTCTACAGAATAATAATAAGGTATTAAAAGACTCCCAATGGAAATAAGTCACTCTGGCTTTTTTAGGTTATCTTAAGTTCTCTACACATATGCTGCTATGAACGACAATCTATGTAACTGTACTTGTGTATACCTGTATAAACTTACTTAGTTACTTATGGCTGAGTGATCTAGAACGTTACTTGAAAAACCATGCCAGTCTCCTTGTAATAGGTTCGAATCCTGCTGACTGCGATCTTTCTCTGTATATACTTACTTGTTTCTGCATGGCCAGGTGTAGCAAATTTGGACTTGTAAATAGTGTGCGTTTTATTTGGAACTTGAATGAGTGATCGTCCTAATAACAGATTTTTGATAAGTTAGGATGGGATAGGTGATTTGTTGTTGTAGATCACCATGCATATATACCAGACGCAACATTAGAACAAATCAACGCAACAGGTTCACACAGCAGGTACACTCAACAGACCCTCACAAGAGATATTCACAAGAGACCCTCACAACAGATCCACACAACAGATCCGCAACACAGAGTAATGATGTTTGAGGTGCATAGTAACTTAGTTCTGTATGTGCCGATGTGAGGGCTGAATCTTTGTTGTCCAGGTGTGTGGCTAAGAAATTTTTTCTCGTCTTTCAATGAATATATTATCAACCTTTTTGTTCAGCAAATTGGTGCTGGAGCAAAGAAAACGAGTTAATAGGTTCCAGAGGCTCTGTCGTCATCACAGATGTCCTGTTACTTAAATCTTTCTTTATCATTTCCATGAAGATTGCTACGAATCACCTTGTTCTTCTCCAGCTCCTCCTTTCCCTAGTAAACAACGGGGTAAACCAGTTAGTGGAGATAAAGAAACTGATAGCAAGGGGAAGCCTTTTATTACGATGTTTCACCCAAGGCTGGGCTTTATCAAGACTCGATCAAGTCCAGCCTTAGACAAAAGACTATAATAAAAGGTTTTCCCTGCTACCATATTTTTATTTCCACCTCTAACTGGTGATAAAGTTGGTGAATCAACACTGTATATCCACTAAGCAGGTATTCGCAAGACACAGGACAGCTCACTACTAGCTTAATATAATAATAACAATAATAATAATTATTTCTTCAAGTACATAATGAATAATAAAGATTATGATACGTTTATTTAACCACAAATAAAGAATTGACTTAAAGTAAAAGGACACAAGTGCAACTAATGTGACATTTTATTGTGGCAACGTTTCGCTCTCCAGGAGCTTCACAAAGGTCATGGAGAGCGAAACGTTGCCACAGTAAAATGTCACATTAGTTGCACTTGTGTCCTTTTACTTTGCATATTGTCGGTAATTCTACCAACATATATACATATACATATATATATATATATATATATATATATATATATATATATATATATATATATATATATATATATAATATATATAAACAAATGACAGTAACCAGCCAGGATACCCATGGCATCGAGGTGGACGAGAAAAAAAAATAAGAACCAGGAAACGCTCATATCTGAACGTTTGTGGGAGAACAAGGTACTGTGAACTGGGAAACCCAGTCAGGCGGCCTTGATGCTACTCTCTCACTTGCTCACTTCTGCCACTGATGTCTTGACCTCTCTGTGTTCCTGTTCCTTTCTACCGCAGAAAACAGTGGGGATCCAAATGGCAAAGAGTGGAATAAAAAAAATGCAAAACGTTGCAGAATATGATCTTATTGGAACAACATTTATTCTGTTGGTAAAGGTTAAAAGAGTCATAATTCCATGACTATCTACACAGAGATTTGCTAAAACTCTAGAGAGAGACTTAAGCTCTGCCCAGAACGAAACTAATCAAAGCATTTTTTTCGCAACATGTGGCTTTTTATGTATAGAATGAGGATTTATTTAGACTGAGAAAGTAGCATAAAATAGTGAGAAGAGAGGAGGGTTGATTTTGTACATAAGTGGTACACAATACCTACAGTATGAAGAATTAGACACAAGTATAATGTTTGGTCAACCACTGGCTTTATCAATGCAATGTAAGGACATAATCTGAAGAATGTAGAACTATATGCAAAAGATGAGATAATCAGTCCCTCAGCTTAGCCTTGGAGCTAGTGAAGAGCACCGTAGTCTTCAGGAATATATAAGACTACTGGGTGAGGCACCAACCTTGTAATTTTTTGCATGTCTTCCTCATCATCACCTGGGCCTTGTTAGGATGTTGACTAAATCACCTGGGCCTAATGAAGGTGCCGAGGTACGAGCTTTTCCAAGGTGTCGGCATCAGTTTCTGGACCTGTCAAGGGTTACAATTATAGCTCCTGGGTCTATCACGGGCGAGAGCTACAGCTTCTGGGCCTCTTGAGGGCAGTGAGTTAAAGCTCCTGGGTCTGTTCATGGTGCTGAGTGCCTGACTCTCTGGAACGTCAAGGGCACATCAGGTTCCCTGTTTACAGAGGTCTGAGCAACACAATTGTCATCAAAGATTTAAGTTATACCATGAATTAAGGAAAAATCCTAAACTCCATCTTACGAAAGCAGACAAAGCAAATGCGATAGTAATTATGGACAAGGTAAATTATAGGGGGAAAATAAACATGATATTAGGAGACAGGGAAACTCACGCGCCTCTTGAGAAGTGAAGGAGTCAGGGATGGAAGCATCTCTTCACTCAGGCAGCAAGGGGAAAACACGTCTAGTTTGACATATATTCCGGCAGAACAGGTCACTGCGGGGGCAGCAGTGTTTATATCGTCACACTTTTACTGAGTTTACTTTCTCATTGTGTAAAGGATTTCACTGCCAGTCGAGAGGCTGGTTCTGTCTCTCAATAGTTCTACAAGCATAAACATAGTCAGGAAAAAGGACAGTAAAAATAAATAAGTCTCTTTAGAAATCGAGCATAAATTTGTAAGATTTACTTGTCATCATGTTGATAAGACAGAAAGAAAATATCAACCACCCAACCAGAGTGCAAAATGTTAAATAATATCTCCCTGGGTAGGTAGTTGCTGTTTACTAAACTACAACCATTAGAGTACTAACTAAAGTTTATACTCCGCGCTATATACGATGTACAGGTAAACGTTGAAACAATCTTTTCACAGTACAACCTCAAGGAAGTTCTTTGTTCTCAGAACGTAGAATCGTGAGTGACCATTAAGCTGTGCTAGCAAGCGTTAAGGTGTGCTGTAAAGTTACACTGCTGTGTTGTAGCGTCACACTGGTGCTGTGGTGTCACACTGTTGGTTTGTGGCGTCACGCTGCTGTGTTGCAGTGTCACTGGTGTTGTGATGTCATACTGTTGTGTTGTGGCAGCATACTGCTGTATTCTGGCGTCACAGTGTGTTCTGAAGTCACACCGTTGTATCGTGGGCTTCACGATGTGGTGGCGTTACACTGCTGTTTTTAGCTACATAAACAGATATTGTTGCTGTTGAAGGGATCTTGATTTAGGGGCGTGGAGCTACCTTCTTCCCTGGATCAAATCTGATTACCTACCATACTCCAGGAGCTGTATGGCCCCTGCAGGTTTAACACTTCCTCGACTGTATAATAATAATAGTAACACTTCCTCATGAATATAATAAATATTTTTCCACGCTAATTTTCTAACGCGTTTATTCCCATGAATTTCTGAACAATTTAAACCATCAAAATTCTAGTTATCAGTTTTGCTAATGTGTCCCAATAATAACAATTTGCTCAACTGTTACGTAGTGTAGATAGCTTGTAAATATCGTAAAATTTACGATAATGCTACTTATATGTACTGCTTGTAGTAATGGCAAAGTACTAAGTGGCTATAAATATGACCATGATTTTTAAAGGGGTGGACCGGTAAGCCATCGGAAGGCCTCAGTCACATGACCAAAAACTCCAGCGGCGGGTCATCATCTAAGACCCTCGTCAGGAAACGCTTTCTCTGTTTCCTGAAGAACCTTACCTTACCTAACTAATGGCAAGCAGTTTATCAGTACTGTAACTTGTTTAGATACCATGGGTGCCTAAGCACTGGACGTGTGAGTTTTAGGATTCACTTGCCATGAGTTTAAGCTTTACCAGTTCAGTGATTTCCCTAGACCTATTATGTGCCTTTGTAATGTCTTGACTACCGCTCACAAGAAGGGAACTGGGGGCGCATAATAATGGGTGTTCAGCCGAGGATCAACTGCGAATAACTGACTAAACTGAACGTTAAGGTCAACAGTGAAGGATAAATAATCTTTTAATGCGTAGGAAAATTGGAGGGTGTGGGGGAGCCTGCTGCACAGTGCTGGTCGTCGTGGCTTTACCTGTACCTCTGTTCTTTGTAGATAATGTTTTATATCGGTAAGATTTCCTTCTGACACTTGTCTCTACTCTTGATTTGCCAATAGCTAAAGTGTCGGTTGAATTTCTAGTTTCCACAGTCTAGACACGGTATCAGTTTTAGAATGTTTCAGTCTTTTACCATTATACTGTTGCTACAGTGGCTGTGATTAAGGAAAATTTAATCATTTACTCGTTTCAGATAATTTATCTATATTACAAATTAGTTGGCAGTAAAGTGGATCAAGATGCCGCCAAGATGTTCAGTCATATTTAAAATTATTTTGTTGTGTTAGTGTTTTACATGGTGGTGCGTGAGGCGGCAGGTTGTTACAGTACTGTGACCGAATAGTTGGTTATTACACCATGGTATTCTGTGATTGGTTGTTGGAGAGCTATAGGGTTGTAACTCTCCAATAACCAATCACAGAAGACCTAACTTGCCAACAACAAACCAACTAATCCCAGAAGCCTAGGTCTTCTGCGATTGGATGCCACTATCCAATTAGAATGACGCCCGAAGCTTAGCATAAATCACTCTGGAAAGAACGATTGAAGCTGGATAGAAACACTGAGCTGGATCATAGAGGATGTAGGCACCAGTCAGGAAGCAGGTGGTCAGTCAGCTAGGAAGGACTAAGTCAGCAGGAAGCAGTCAGCTACCTCGCAGAAAAAAGAAATCAGCAACGGAGGCAACGCCAATGATACAGGGATCAAGTGCCCTATGAAATATGATGGAAAAGCGAGATAAGCAACGGTACAATAACAAGAAGCTTACAGTGTGATTTTTAAATCAGACATCAAAATACAATGTAGCGTTGTGTTAACTGCGCAAGTATACAATGTATGTAAGAATAAGACTTATTTATATAAAACATATGGTAATGAGTAACTAAATTGTGACTATTATAAACTCAATTTTAAATTGTTAAATCAGGAATAATCTCCCGTTGAGTACGGGAGTAAAGTAATAATATTATGAGACTGACTGCCCTTCAGATTGAGTCTCTGAGTAGGTGGTATTTATAAAACGTCATCAAACGTCAAATTAAATTAAGGAATTTTAAAACTTGTCGAGGGAAATTAATGTCTAGGTAATATCAGCAACAGTTTAAAGTCAGTTAATAAATTAAATAACATAGAAAATCCATTATTATTCATTAGTTAAATCAATTGATTTCAGGAGCTGGTTAAATTAAAAAGCTTAGGAAAATAGATTCGATGTATTTTAATGACCCATGCAACGAATCTGAAATTACGCGTACATTCCTTGATGCATTTTGTAAATATTATCAGTGTCTTATATAACAAAGCTGAGTTTGTTTGTATTGGTGTGTATTCGTGAGCCTACGTAATGCTTCGCAGGAAAAAACAAGACGAAGAAACAGAACAAGTTTATAATATCCAGAGTTCCTCAAGATACATGCGTGTCATACTTCAAGGAAAGCGAGTTCACACGAAAGATTTTTTTTTTTTTTTTGGGGGGGGGGGGTATTATTACTCAGAGCAATAATTCCAGTGCATAGGTCTCATTGTGAAGGCATTAAAAATAATAATCATAATAATATCTTTATTTCTACATGTACATGTACAAGGTACACAGGCCTAGCTGACATCAATAACATACTACTATATAGAAAGCCTCTTGTTATGCAGAGCATTTTGGGCAAATTAGGTCAGTTTTGTCCCCAGGATGCGACCCACACCAGTCGACTAACACTCAGGTACCCATTTTACTGATGGTGAACACAGACATCCGGCGTAAAGAAACACGCCCAATGTTTCTACTCTCACTGGAAATCGAACACGGACCCTCGCCGTGTGAAGCGAGAGCTTCAGCCACCAGGCCACGGGAGAATACTGATCCGTAGTTATCCCATAAAATTATAATTCATTGAGATTGTATCATATAATCTTACAATTACTAAGAACTTATTAGCCGTTACAGTTATGTGGTGACGGGATTAGCTTGTCACTGCCGGAGAATTTCAAACCTGACCTCACGAATCTGTTGTACTGGATCAATCTGACTCAGCATACTAGGAGCCTTGTGACCTCCTACACACGATACCCCCACCAAGCCTGACCCCGACCCCCAGCATCCATCACCACCCAGACCACACCCAGCAAGCCATTTAAAATCCCAGTACCTCAATCACTTACAGCAACCCTGATTACCTCAGCAACGCTTGAATACCTCAGTCAACCCTGACTACCTCAGTAACCCTGAATACCTCAGCAACCCTGACTACCTCATCAACACTACCTCATCAACCCTGACTACCTCATCACACCCTGACTACCTCATCAACCCTGACTACCCCATCAACCCTGACTACCTCATCAACCCTGACTCCCCATCAACCCTGACTACCTCATCAACCCTGACTACCCATCAACCCTGACTACCTCATCAACCCTGACTACCCCATCAACCCTGACTACCTCATCAACCCTGACTACCTCATCAACCCTGACTACCTCATCAACCCTGACTACCTCATCAACCCTGACTACCCATCAACCCTGACTACCTCATCAACCCTGACTACCTCATCAACCCTGACTACCTCATCAACCCTGACTACCCCATCAACCCTGACTACCCCATCAACCCTGACTACCCCATCAACCCTGACTACCTCATCAACCCTGACTACCCCATCAACCCTGACTACCTCATCAACCCTGACTACCTCATCAACCCTGACTACCCCATCAACCCTGACTACCCCATCAACCCTGACTACCTCATCAACCCTGAAAACCTCATCAACCCTGACTACCCCATCAACCCTGACTACCTCATCAACCCTGACTACCTCATCAACCCTGACTACCCCATCAACCCTGACTACCCTATCAACCCTGACTACCTCATCAACCCTGACTACCCCATCAACCCTGACTACCTCATCAACCCTGACTACCTCATCAACCCTGACTACCTCATCAACCCTGACTACCTCTCATCAACCCTGACTACCCCTCATCAATCCTGACTACCTCATCAACCCTGACTACCCCATCAACCCTGA